GCAGAAACTCCGCGCGCTCATCTCTTCCAGAAAGAAGAAAGCGGGACGATACCTGAGCAGAAGCTGTCGCCATGTTGTTCACCTCAAAAGCGTCGCATTCGCCACTAACGAGAAGCGCCCTCGGGATGAAGCGTCCCCACGAGTAAACACCCCATACAGCTTAAAATAAAAAAGGCCCTGTGAGCGTGGGTATTTGCCACGCGCACACAGGTGGGAGACTAACCGAGACGGAAGCAGACAGGCTGTATGGCAAGCCGTTTTAACAAAAATTCGGTTTCGTCTGACTAACCGTAAATACGTTCTAGATATCTAAAAATCCATTTTGACTACTTAAAATTCCTTTCAAGATAGCTCAAATGATCCAATTTGAGCTCGTTTCCGGAATTATGATTTAAGATATCTTGAACGAAATGATCAATAGTCAAAATTACAATTTTAGATATCTGAATTGAGAGTGACGTGAAGCCCCTTTGTGCTGTCCAAACAGTTTGATAAGTTTATATTTCCTGCACAAAATTGTCCGTAAAGAGCTCGGCAATGTTGGAAATGCAGAGAACGCAAAACTTCATAAACTATAAGACTGCTAATCATATCTGCAAAAAATCCTGTTTATTCATTTCCGACGAACCGAATGTATTTAAAACAGCTTTGAAAAGCTAAAATTGCCATTGTCAATCCATTTCAACATGAAAACAGGTTTATTTAAAGCCAGCTAGAAACGGGCTTTAAATAAGCTGAGAGAATTTGGGGCAATACAGGAAGTGGGCCCGAAAAAATAAAAGTCCTTAACCAATTACGGGTTTCACTATTGTCAATCCATTTTTCAAACATCTTTTTTCGTTTTTTCATTATTTTATGAAACTTTCAAATTGCCACGTAAATCAGTGATGCTTTGACTAGACAGATTGCTAATTCAAGATTTCAATAATGTCATTTCGACTAGTCAGAATGTTAATTTAAGATATCTTAAATAGAAAAGTTGAATAATTCAAGATATCTCTAATTTAGTTTTTGTCTAGTCATTATTTGCTTTTAAGATATCTGTAATTTAATTTCCACTAGTCAAAACTACATTTCTCCCATCCAAAAATACATTTGAGATATCTTGAATTATGGACTAATTAGAAATAACTTTGATTTGAATTATGACTAGTCAAAACTACAATCGAGATTTCTTGAATTTACTTTTTGACTAGTCATAATTAAATTGTAGATATCTGAAATGTGTATTTCAGTAATTCGTCGTAGAAATCTTGAATTGAAGTCTCCATACAACTCAATGGTAAATCTGACGTCATTTTGAATAGTCAGAATCTAATTAAAGATCTCAAATAGGTATTTTGTCTACTCAAAATATAATTAGAGATATATTAAATTGCTAAAACGTCTAATCATAAAACAATTTGAGATATCTGGAATGTAACAGCGAAAAAACCTAATTTATGTTAAAATGGCTTGCCATACAGCCGGGTCTTTTTGCCTCCATAGTTATGAAAGTGGGTGAAATAGCCCTTTAAAGGAGCTTCGAATCGCAAGCCAACTTCCCTGTCCTCTAATGAGCTGATCCGTAAAACCCAAAGAACGTTCTTGCCAAGCGGACAGAGAGAGAACCTTATTTATGATACTCTAAACTTAACCATCATTATGAGTTTAAAGATGGCGGCTCTCAAGAATGACGAACAAGGGAAAAAAGCGATTAGTTTATAAATGAGTGAAGTGGACGTGTGGAAGGTGATCTCCAAGTGACAGTAGAACCAGTGGTTCTGAATGGGTCTGGGCGTGGCCTTCCCAGATGTGCGTGTCATTTCCTTACACGCGCACGCACGCACGCGCACTGATTTTCCAAAAATAGACGGAGGAGCTTTTTTTTTTTTTTTTTTTTTCCTGTCACCTCACTCACACGTAGGTCTCGCCTACCTGTTCGAAACCTGGATGAAGCCTCTGGGTCACACACCCTCGGGTATAATTTCAACAAGAAAAAAAAAAAGCAAAAAGATCTCGACAATAATTCTTCCCCAGCACGCGCACGTCTTTATTTTTTCCTCACACAAGGTTTGTTTGTCACGACGAGAAACAAGGGGGCCTGTTTCCTCTTTAATGACTGACAAATAAATACCCATCCACCTTTCGTTTCACATTTTAAACCTCATCACCGACGGAGAAAAATATGAGCAGGAACAATGCTGGACGTGCCTGGCACGCGCGCAATTAGCGGAGGAATATCATAAGGAAAAAAAAAAAGATAAAAGCACCGAAGCGTCGACAATTGATGGATTAATTTATATGTATAAAAAAACAAAAAAGCGCTTAAGGATGACGTCACACAAAATTGGCAATTAAAATGGGAAAACACATGTTGTTGAGTCCAGATAAACTGTCAGGCGGTTATTTTGTATGTCATATAAAACAATATGCCATACTTACCACCATTACGGTGCCCAGCAGGTGGGGACCCTGCAGGCAGATCCCATATCCAAAAGAATAACACAGGGATTTAACGGGTGGCTCAGTCAAATCCCGTTAGGCGAACGTATAATCATCTAATAAGCGACTCTTTGATGCTTTTTGTCCCCCCTCCCCTCCTTTCTTTTTTGGGTTTTCTTTTCTTTTTCTTTTTTTTTTAATCCGCCCTTGCTCGCCGTGGAGAAATCATTCCGCGCTTCCGGTCGGTGAGGCTCGGCTCGGCTCGGCTCGGCGGTCTGGGAGTGAAGCGTCGTTAACACGGGGACCGTCGCGAAATGGCCCGGACGTGCAGCGCTTCTAGAACATTTCTGAACCGCGGTTCGAGATGCGAGCAACCTGTTGTTCATCACCAAAAGCACAAAAAAAAGACCAAACAAAAAACAACAGAATTTCTCAATATTTTAAAGTTCATATTATTATTAGCTATTATTATTATTATTATGTTACATTTTTTATTTTGCTTTCTTTTCACTCATAGTTTTTGACCACATATCTAAAAAATCTACATATGAGTTATGATGTGTCAATGCTGATTTTTTATTATTTTTTTTTCTGATCATCATAATTCACAATGGTTCAATAACGTGTTCGGTGTTTGTTTAGGGTCTTCAGACACGTGCAATCTCACGTGGCGACCACCTGAGTGTCCACAGACCACTCTGTCCATCTTTTCTGGAGAAACACTCCCACCTGCCGGATGATTTGTGCAATTACAAAACCTGTGATTATTTCAATGTTGTAGCTGAAAGGAAACATGGTATTGAGTGACTTGGACAAAAATAAACAATTCTATATCTGTAAAATGTACTAACGCATATTGGAAGAGTTTCTAATCAGTCTGAAACTGACCAATACACGATTCTCGACATGTTTTATATTGATGAGTGCATTAAAAAGCAACTCCGCTCTGCAGCCTACCAGTTATTTGAAGTCCTTTAGTCCCCACTATGCAGGGAAAGTAGGGAAAAAATAATAATCTAGACAGACGCTCTAAGAGCCCACACCATTGTTTCTGAAGCAATTGTTTCTGCCTATCATCTTTGCACACAACTGTACAGCTGCACTTGTGCATAAAGTACTGTGCCTACAATAATAATACCGAAAAAAAAAAAAACATCCAAATATTTTCAGTTGAGCAAAAACACTGTTGCAGAAACAGGGAAGCATCATCCTCAGGGTGGACACACACCCTTGTGCTCAGTGGACCACGACCTTCTCACACGGGTGAAAGGAGTTTCACTTCAGTATATTTGACACCTCAGATAAACACACCCTGATAATCAGGTTTGATGAATGCATTTCAGTTCATACTTTATAACCTTAGACCGTATCTCAATTTTTGCTGCTGTTCTAGAGAGTCATGGGTACAGCAGTCATTCAAAAGTAAGACTGGAGAAAGTATACATAGTCAAAGTCTACAAAACACCACATTTCTGAGGTATTACTTTGTGTTTTGCCGCTATACATAGAACTGTAAGCTATCAACCCCCAAAACATGTCATGTCTTCCTTGATCGTCGTATTTCACAGCTTTTTGTGAACTTGGAGTTTGTTTAATTAGCAGCAGTAAGAGAAATTTTGAAGCCTTGTTCAAACTCCAGCTAAAAGTGGTTTGTACTTCGCATGTCATCGTCCCCGCTGTCTGCAGCTTTATGTACGTTTGAGAGGCTTAAACTGGAGAAAATGTGGAAAAAGACAAATCCTAATATTTACATTGCTAAAAAAAAGCATTTACAGCCTAATATTTAGAGAAAAGCTGGATTGTGGAAGAATGCTGCAGAGAAAATATGAACTATTAAACCGCTTTGGGCCTTTTTAATATTCCATATTTATTTGGGAGGATTTAACAAAAGGGGGTTGAATAAAGTCGCATTCTGCCATTTTCTGACGCATGTCTGTGTGCATTATCTATTTGTTGTGGTGCTGTTCCCAAGGAGAAGCAACAGATTTAGCTGTGACACATGGAAGCAGCCTGGACGGTGACTAAATGGGCTCCTTGACTATTTCACAGTCGTCAAAGAAAGCTCGTTATACCAGACAGTCACACAGAGATCCGTTTACCACAGCCAGCCCCTGTGGAAACCCACCGGATCTCCAGAGACAGACTTCATCACGAGATTATGAGATTACAGCAGGTGCGGGCATGTGTTCCTCACACTTGATTTGATTAAAACAGCTACTTAGAAACCCACATGTTCTCAGATGAAGATCACTTTGTGTTTATGTCCCACAGCTGGACGTCCTTTTCCCCCCCTTACTCAACCAGACTGTTGAACGTTTCCAGTATCATTAACTGAAATATTTCCTTTCGACTGTGATTATCTGTGGTCTCCGCATCATGATGGTACCACCACATGATTTGTACTCCCCCCCCCCCCCCTCCCCCCCCCCCCTCCACTCAGTTGCATTTTTAAGAGTAGAGCAGAGCTTTGCTGCTCTGGGTCACCAGGGGCAGACGCAGCTCACTCTCCACAAACACAGGCATGCAAAGTGCTGTCATGTGACTGGGCAGGGCCTCATAGGTGTGGTAGCCTCAGACTGCTAAACAGGGATTAGGAGGAAACAGAAATTTTCCCCCGTCTCCCTGGACCAACTCTTCCCATCACTTAGCAGAGCAGAAGAGACAGCTGAAGGAGAATGAGAGCAATCGGCAGGTGAGTGACCAGTGCGTGGATGGATTTGTTGGAAGAGTTTCTAAGTGAGACAGCATGGAGAGAACGTCTTCCTGCAGCTCTAATCCCTCTAAGAAACACAGTAAGCTTATTTAGAAGCTGGCTTTACAGGGAAGCTAGCTGTGCTGACAAGAGTTTATCTGATGGTGTTGGTATTTTCAAATATTTCGCTTCTTAAATTTGGTACATTTCTGTTTAATCCTTCATCCAGCTATATCCCACATCATTTAAACTTTTTCATATATATATTTTTTTGTTCTATTAAAATTTTAATGAAGCTTTATGTGACCAATTGCGAGCCTTTTGGTCTCTGTGCAAAACCAACAGATCATCACAAAGGTGGAGCAGGTGGAGCACGGTGGAGGTAGGATTATGCTGTGGGGATCATTTTCCCCATTGAGGCAAAATGATGTTTTCTCCTACATATTATGATGTTTCTAAGTTATTTAAGTGCCCAAAGGTCTGTATTATCATTATTATTATTATTGTTTTCATTTTTCAAATATGATCAATGGGATCATTTTCCCCATTGAGGCATAGAGAAGTTGGTCAGAGTTGGAAACCATGCAAGTCAGAATGTCAGAATGTTCTATGTAAAAAAAAAAAAAAAAAAAAAAAAAAAAAAAAGATATATAAATATATAATTTAAAAACGACTTATTGCCCTTCTTTTTTGCAATTAAGCGCTAGTTTCTGCTGGTCTGTTGCAGAAAACCCCTCTCTATAGTTTGATGTTTGTGGCTTTGTGGCAAAGCGTCACTGATTTGCAGCAATTTGGAAGTTTAATAAAACAATGAAAAATAGAAAAAACAAAAAAAGATGTTTGAAAAATGGATTGCATGATTGGTACGAGAAAGGTATTCTATTTGTAACTGACTTAATGGATAGTAATGGTGTTTTGTTAAATCAAAGAGATTTAACCCACAAATTTAATTTGAACTGTTCTTGTAATGAATATGTAAAAGTATGCAAAGCTATTCCTGTAGCTCTGCTCCATCTCATCCAAAACACCTTAAGATTTTCAACTGTTAGTTCATCTTTACCTAAAATGAAGATTGAAGAATATATTGTGACTGATAAAAAGTGTAATAATGGTACGCTTGTGACTGTCTTCAAATCTAATTTATTTAATGATCACAACAATAATATCTTGGTAACAACTAATTTGTCTTTAATTGAGAAGGCGTTTTCCATGTATGTTAAATGGCCGGTTTCACCCAAGGTGAAAGAGACTCATTTCAAAATTTCTCACAATATTTACCCAGTGGCTGAATTTTTGCACAAACGATTTAAATTTGATTGAACATGTTGTGCCTTTTGTGAATGTGCAGACTCGTCTCTTTTTTTCCTGTCCTTTTTCTTTTAAACTATGGAGAGACATTAAAAACTGGTTGTGCCTTAAAATTGAAGACATCCCTGAGATAAACATCACCCACATATTGTACTATGCTGATGGCCTTGATAATCAAATATCTGATGTGGTAAATATTGTTTTCTTGCTTGTTAAATATCATACACATTGCTGTAAATGGAGAGGTCATTCTCCTTGTTTGGAGAGGTCATTCTCCTTGTTTTGACTTTTTTTTCTTAATCAGTTTAAACTGCATTGCATCTCCCTGAAACATTTGAAATCTGCGTATGCAAAAAAAGTATCTGAGAGTATCTCTACTTTTCTTTTGTTGTAAATCTTGCTCTGTTTTTTATTCATTTGCCTTACTATTTGTTTTTTGTCTTTATTTTTAGCCCCTTGTTTTGTTTCTTTTTTCTTTTTTTTTTGCCTATGTTGCAATGATCTTTGTACCTCTACGAGTCTTTGTATACTGATTGTTTAATAAATAAAATAAAATAAAATAAAATAAAAATAAGGGATGACGGGTGGTCGCGCGCGCGCGCGCGCACTCTGGTTTCCGTGGAAACGGGGCGTGCGCTGATTAGTTGAGGTGACGCTCGCTCGTTCGAGTTCGACCTGGCACGCGACACTGAGCTGACGGAAATCTTGGGTAAGTCCAGTGAGACGGACTGTTGGGTTTAACCGAACCGAACCGAGTTTAAGCCGAGTTCAAAAGCTTAAACCTTCCGAGGCGGCCAACGGTAGGTTTTCCTGGAAACGCTCGAGTTAGCAGCTGCGGTTTGCTTGTTTAACTTTTGAGGAAGTTTACAAAGCTAACATAGCAAACTAACATATTTATTTTGACTTGTATTTGTATAAGTCGAGGAATCACTTCCTTTTCTTGGAACAGCTGCAGTTTAAGTGAAGTCATAGACTTTATGCTTGATTTGTGTGAAGGGCTACATTTCACAATATAAATAATTAGCTTTTCTTATTGAAGTAAAATTATAAATACTTAAATATAAAACATGTCTAAGTTTCTTCAATGTATATAAATAATGTTGGGACTTGCTATTCAAATCATTGAATATATGATTGAATAAATTGCTTCACATTTAGTATTTACTTTTTGTTTTTACAGTCTGCCTTGAAATAATTTAGTCTGTCACTTTAGTTTGTCATGTGGACAAATGGAGACAGAAAGTGATGCATTTTGAAGTTCTTGAAATCCTTTTGCAAATCTCACGTTCTGTGTATGAACTGCTTTTTATTAGGTGTGCAATCTGTGTTTCAGGAGATTAACCTGACACTGGATGCAGTCTCGGATTCCCAGTGGCCCCTGAGTGCTCTGTCCGTCCCTTGAGATGGATGAAATGAATCCGCTGGAAAGGGAACACTCGCTGTGCGTCGTTCTCCCAGCGGGGATCGAAAAGAACATTACAGTGCATGGAAGGTGAGCTTTGTGGCTGGAATCTGTTAAACCTTTATGTGCTACAGCAAATATCACAACTGCATCTTATGTAGGGTGAGAACACCTAATAAAATGAACTTTTTGTTGTTGTTGTCTCTCCCTCTATTCAGTAAGCCGGTGATGGACTTACTCGTGACACTGTGTGCAAATTACCATCTCAATCCTTCTGATCACACTGTTGAGTTCCTGTCGCCTAACAAGAACAACATCAGCTTCAAGCCTAACTCTCCTATCGGCTTGTTGGAAGCCGAGAAGATTTTGTTGAAGCCAAAAGGGACCGAAGAAAAAACGAAGAAGCCGTACATGCCCGAAGTAGGAATTATTAAAAACAAGGCGGGGGGATTCAGATGCAACATGTATTATCATTTACTTTTTGTTTTTACATTTCAGGCAACCGTACGTTTACTGATCAACTACAACAAGTCCCATAAGACAGTGTTGCGGGTGAATCCCAGGGCGCCGCTCGAGACGGTGCTGCCGGCAGTGTGCGACAAGTGTGAGTTGAACGTGGAGACGACCATCTTACTGAGAGACCTGCAGTCCAAAGAACCGCTGGATTTGACCAAGAGCTTGAATGACCACGGATTGAGGGAGGTGTTCGCTAAAGACACAGCAGCTCAGGACTGCCAAAACAAGACAGCTGGAGGAGGTATGTTGAATAGAAGACACACAGAGACCCTCCCCTCTTTTGGTTTTTATTTAAGATATAAGGTGTGTATACCTTGCGTTCATGCTGCTCACCTCCCACCCTCCGAAGGCTAGTTAGCATTGCCACTGACGACGACAGATGAATGTTTTTTTTCCTGTAACGTTGAGAAGTTTCTCCACCATTAGCACATTTATTAGTGCATTCACTATGTTGATTAACAGCGCTATCCTAGTTCTGATTGTTTTGTTTTTTTGTCAGTACCACTGCATTTCTTCAGACGACATTAGTAGAAGCTCCTTCTCTCATATGAAACTGTCACAACGTTGTGTTGGTTTTAACAAATATCTTTTTGTTTACCAACTTGTACTACAGGTTGACTTATGGAAATTAGAATCTGTGAGAAGGAAATTGAAAATAGTCAGACGTTTCTTGATGGAAAGCATAATTTTCTATTTTGAAGAAAAATAAAACCTTTTTTTTTTTTCCTTGTTTTCCTGTTTCCTTGTTGTAACAGCAGGGACACCAACAGAGGTCATCTCACCAACTCCATCACAAGGTTGCACACACACACACACACACACATCATGACTTAACATGCAGTACTGCTAATTATTTAGTGTGCAATATGCCAGCATTTTCTCTACTAATTTCTCAGACTTGCAAAGGAAGGAAAGGAAACAAAGGAGAAGAGGCTTCTTTAGCTTTTTCAGAAGACGGAAGAAGAAAAACGAAACGGTATTCTTTCCGCATTTTCTGGGACGTGACTGAAAATGTTTTGTTTTTATAAGCTCACGTTTTACTTTTCGGCAGAACGGGTCGGTGAGTGCTCCGACGTCTCCCGGCCTGGGGAAGCAAGTGAGAGTCCGTGGGAATTCGGAGAGCGTTTCGTCAACTCACACCCTGCCGGCCGACACGCCTAAAAAACGCCCAGCGCCACAGCCGCCTGTTGCAGTCTCCCAGAGCGTCCCTAGCAACCTGAGCGCCTGTATTCAAGGAGCACAGGTATATCAGGAAATATGCATCCTCTTCCTCTTTTTTTAGCAACTCCAAAACATTTTTTTATTGTATTTTGAAATAAATTCAGGCAAATAAAAACTATTCCCCAAAAAATGTCTTCTGCAGTCATCGGGAGAACTTACCTTAAGGAATACGAAGAGGAAAGCTCCACCGCCCCCCTGTGCAAACACACAATCTGAGCAGAGAGAAGGAACTGATGCGGGAGGTAAGATTTCCCAGTTCTTGTCTTTATTTGCTCCTTGGTGTTTATCAATAAATACCGCTTTTACAGTATTTAAAAATAAATTCAACGGGTTTCAAACTCTCTGAATTACCGACTTTTCCCTCAAAACCTCGCAGCGTCTCTCAATGCCAACAGACGTGACATTAAATCAAGATTAAATGCCACTGCAAATGGCATCAAATTGAAGATTTAGCGGCTAAATCCGTAGCTTTTTATCAGTCCCCGACAGTTTAACCCCCGTTTAGGGCAATTAAAGTGACCCTTGTTCATAGAGCGTATTGGTTCCTTCCTGTTTGGAGATAAATCCCTCTATTGTCCACGCTTTCATTCCCTCTGTATTAATCTGCCTGCTGTTTCCCTACTGCTTCCCCTCTGGCTGCATTGATTCGCTTTTAGACACAGGAGGTTTTGGTTTCCACGAGAAACATTTGATCGTGGCAGTTTTTCCAAGAGCTCCAATTAGCGACCTAATTGCTTGCAACTCCAGCTTTGTTTGTGTTTGAACCAACGTGTCGCTTTGCTTTGCTGAGCTGGTGTTGGTGTAAGTCTGGGAAAAGCGACTCCCAGCCAAGACTTTAAACATCCTCCTTGCACTGTGCAGGCCTCCCGTAATCTAGAACTCCCTCTCTGTAGATGGATTAGCTGGTTATTTGCTGCTGCTTGTTGGAGGTTTGTGAGCGTCTTCATGTTCAATGTGGAAACCTTTCAGACTGAAGCTGAGCTCTTTCTCCTTCCTGCTGCAGACTCTGTTCCCTGAAGGGGGCGATTTGAGGGATCTGCTCTTCCTCTTCTCCTTCCACCACCCCCCTCTTCCTCTCTCCGTCTACTTCCTGCGTTGGCTTCTTCCTTCTTCCCATTCGTCTGGCTTTCATGGATATTGCCTTTACATCATAAAATCCGTTTTAAACCTTTATGCCCTGATCATATCTGATCTTTTTTTTACTTCAGTTTCATTATGATGGGATTTTACAAACGCATCATGGTGCCTCTTAATCAACAATTTTGACAAAATATGAGAGCATTATCATTTCAAAACGATACATATTTCTTCATACAATTCATATTTACTTCTGTCATTACAACTTGTCATTTTAATTTTTGTTCTTGATTAAAAGTAATTTTTTTTTATTATTATTTGCTTTCAAAATCAAAGTAAACAGAATTTCATTAGTTCAGATAACGCGAATGCCTTTGTTTTTAATTTTTGACAAAGTGTTGAATTGGCAAGCATCTCTCCTCCATTGCATTTTTTTAAAGATTTAATTTCAAAACGAATTGCTAAAATAACAACTTATTGTGGCAGCAAGCAAAACTGGGAAAAAGCTTTTCTTTGTAACATAATTGTTGTTGTTTTTTAAAGATTTTTTTTCAATAATGTCTCTTTTTTTAATTTTTCTTGCAACTTTTCCATAAATACCAAAATGTTTTTAAACACACACTGGACTCCTGATAGGTCATAAAAAAATAAAAGGTGTGAAAGCAGTAAAAAAAAAAGAAGGTAATTCTATCGACAGTAGTATTTAAATCACGAAGCTCTTTGTGGAAACAATTTCACCCAAATTGGCAACATTTTTTTTTCTTCCAAACTTCCCTTTTCGAGAAGAGATCATATTTCACTAAAATTCTTCAGATAAGTGTTTTCTGCTTTTAACCTTTAAGCGACTTGAAGAGAGCTTACTGAGAACCTTCTAAGGCAATACAAAAATAATTTTTCTTTTCTTTCCTTTTTATAAATTGTCGATTTTTCCCACAATCCCTATTGTCCAAAGAGTCCCTGAAGATCCTGGAAGGGCTGAGAGAGACTGACGATTCCTTGTCCTCTTCAAGCCCATCACTGACTCGTCTGCAGGAAGCGCCCGACTCGTATCGGCCTTCGTTTCGAGGGAGAGACCTATCCGACGCCCGCTCGGCTCTCGCTAAAGTCCTCACGTCCTCCGTCTCCAAAGGGACGCTGGTGAGGCGTTTGAGAAACTCCGCCGCCTTCCCGAACTTTAACGTTGCGTCCTGCGTGTCCACAACTTCAAAGTGTCTGGATGAGGGAGACCGCTGTGCAGAGCACGAGTCTGCTTTCAGATCTAACCTCCCGACTGAGAACGAGTGGACGGAGCCAGAACACAGGACTGGATGGACTACCTTTAAAGTCGTGCCCCTGAAGAAACCGGCTTCCTCTGATCAAGAGGTGATGCATGACACTCAGGACTGCTCCGACTTACCTGTAATTGATGACAAAGAAACAAACGAGAAACGGAAGGAAGTAGATCCAGAAGATCCTGCGCCAGTAGATGGTTGTGATAACTCAGAAAATCAGAGCGAGTCTGGTTTGAGTCCTGACGCAGACGTTGTTCCATGTAGTTCATGCACTGTTGGAGAGAATGTTTCACATGAAGAAATTGAAGAGGATGTTTCACATGAAGAAGACGAGGAAGCTGTCTTCCCTCCCCCTCCTCCACCTGTTGTTTTTACAGAGGACATGGAAACTGTGGAGAAAGAAGATTCCCAAGCTAGTCCCGTCTTCAACGGGCACAAGAAGGCATTTAGCGTAGCTCACAACAACGCTTCCTCCGCTGCATCTGACCAGCCGACTGTGGCGCCGTCCAGATTTGCCCAGGCTGTAGCCCTGGCCGTGCAGAGGGCCCGTCTAAAGAGACGGGGCCTCGGCGAGAGCTCAGGCCCTCAAGCCTCCAGCGGTCCAAACGGCACTCATCCATCGCCTTCCAGGTCCTCATATCAGTATGGTATGTTCCTACCCGTCAGTGCCTTGCAAAAATATGAAAACCCTTTTTCAGTATAAAACAAACTTCATTATTATCTTAAATGCAAAATGTATATTTTGTAGTTTTGGCTTAATTGCTGCTCTGCATATGTTGCTTTTCTGGCAAATCTCCTTTTGTGATTCTGTACTCTTGTTCACAATTAATTGATTTTATAATTAGTTGACCAGTATTTCAATAATTAATCACAATTACTTCACTGCTGTATTACCTGTTGGTTGACTCTCCACTTCTTAAACATGTTAGTTTTCGTTTGTTTTTTGTTCTTTAGGTGCCTGACCTGCGTCTGTGTCCAGCTTTCAGCACGGACGAAAGACACCGGACCCAGACCAGCTCATAGTTTTCAATAAGCTGTGCAGTTTTTCTCTTTTTCTTTTTAGTTTTCACTTAATGTTCATGTGTTTAAACACAAATGCTTTGCTCTGGAGAATGCCAAATGTACAGGTTAGAGTTGCTCCTATATATATATAATTATAATTAAATTTTTCATGTGCCAAAGTGGATGTAATGCTGATTTGAGAGCTTTTTCTTGTTTATTTAAAACAAATGAGAAGTAACCTGTATTAATAGTATTTTTTTGGAAAAATATTTTGTTTTAGGGTGGTTTGGTTTTCAGCCAGCAGGTGGCAGAGGAGTGTTTCTTGTAAATTTAAAATCCAAACGTCTTTTTTTGTTTTTGTTTTTTTGTAAGATTTTCATATCATCCATTCTAGTGGATTTATCCCTGAAAATATGCCGCACAATTTTATTGCAATTTTAGCCAGAAATGATTTGTTAATTGTTTTCATCAAGGAGCCATGAAAGCAACCTCTGTTTCAGGGACACGCCTACAATAAAAAGACTCCAACAACGAGCTGCATGTATTATTGCATTTTTGATCATTCCCAGCAACAAAATAAGGGGGAGGTAAAAAAAAAAAAAAGAAACTCCAACATTCTTGTTGGAAACATCAGTTTTATGCCAAGCATTTCATCGCCCTTGTGAGTAAACTCGGTCCACTTTGCTCACATGCACTCGCTGTTGTCTTTAGCGGACCCATACCTTGGGGCAATGCTGCGCAGCTATACTTGGGTGCCAAAAGAATCCGCGCTACTATATGTATTGATCCAGCCGTGGCCTTGGAGGAACAGCAGGGAGCTGTGTGAGCTGGAGACCCAGCCAGAACCGCCTGTGGCTAAAGCTCCCAGTTTGCCAGGCCTGGACTGAGTGGGCTCGCTTCAAGACTCCCTCTTTCTCTCTCCTTGCTCTATCTGAAGGCACAGAGAGAAAGAGAGGAGGGAGGGTTGCAAGAGGATGATGGGAGGTGACCATTGACCCTGTCGTGTTTCTCAAGTGCTCCCCCCAGAGGGGGCGCCTGGCCCTCAAGGGCACAGTTGTGTTGCACTGCCGTTGTCATGAAGAATGCCATCATGGCCCCTGAGGAGGAATGCCACACCGAGCATTTTATTTAAGATGTGTGTGTAAGTATGTGTTTTGTGGTCTCTGGAGCCTCTTTATACTTGTATCTTGGTCTAAACATGTGAAAAAGTTTCGACTTCCAGCTCAGAATTATGACGTCCAGCGTAGCTGACAACTTTGGCATTATCGTTTTACGCATGAAAAGGTTGAATCCCAACATGAGCACAACTATCTCTGATCATACAGACACAGGAAAGCCTGGTCTGTAATGCAGGAGAACATTTAATGCTGCCCTGTCATGGAGGATTACAGGAATGCTACTAATTGATGAACAGTACTAAGAGCCTATTTAAGAAATTGAGTTAATATCAGGTGAAAAATCTCACAAAGTATTTTTGTGTAGTTTCCAGTGCAAATGCATTAGTTCACCTGAACTAATAGAAGCTTGTTTTAAGTCTTTAATATTGATCCATTGGCAGATTATTTCACTTGCAACATGGGGAAATGTGATAAGTAAAATCTTAAAACAAGCTCCTATTTCTTGCTTAAAAGTTACTTGTAAGTCAGTTTTGTCTTATTTCAAGTCTGGTAAGATATTTGCACAAGAAACTAGACAAAATATATTGAAGATTTTGTGTTTTTGCAGTTTTTGGATGGACTATTTAGATGTATAACAAGGTTTTTGAAGAGTTTCAGATAACAGTTCTGATAGATTGGATTCCCTTCGGTGAAATGTCAACTAGAACGTGACTGAATCCCTTTTCTCACCTGTTGCTGCACATTGCTGGTCAGCTGGTCTGCTCTTTTTAAATATCTTTGGGTGGAAAAAAAACAAGGAAAGTTAAGAGTAACATTAATCGTTTTGTTTTCTTTCGCTTTCGTCTTTTAGGGTAATAGTCTTAAAACTGTTGTTAGCATGCCGTAAGTAGGATGGCTTTAAATTAACTCTCTGCAAACTAAGTTCTACTTGTTCTCTTGAAAGTGTAGAAGAGACAAAACAAGTTCTTGAAAACGAATTAATGGAAGATTGCATGCTTGCGATCACTGCACTGGAATCTCATGTTTTCATGGACAGGAAAACCTGTCCATAAACAGTGAAACTAACTTATTTAAGCTCGCTGTAGGAAGCTGCACCACCTCTCTCTAAATTGTAAAGATTTTCTGTTGTAAAAGTTTAGAGGTTATTTTAGTAAAAAAAAAAAAAAAAAAAAAGGAAAAATCTTGATTTGACTCACACACTGCGCTGTGAGTACTCTCCAAAATCTCGAACTTAAATCAATACCATAATAGCCGGCCCACACAACTTTAACCCATCAATACACCATTAATGACAGTTTATTTATTCCTTCATCTTTTCATTCATCTTTATTTAGTTCTCCATCTGATGTATCTGGCTTGTGGTTTGAGAATGCCCACGAGCTGCTTGGAGTCGGAATCTGATTATAAAACAGCAACCAGGCCCGGGGCGCGCTTCGCTGGATCCACCATGTCTGATGTGTGTCCGGGGCGCACATGTGCAATCCGCAGACTGCTAATATATGTGTGTTTACATGGCACCTTCCATGCCAGGGTAGAAATAATCAATAGATGAATCACCCAAAGCAGTGCAGCTCTCCCCAGGCAGTGTGGTGCAGCTTAATGCTATTCTTTTCATTCACCTTGGGAGCGGCATCCATCAGGCCTCCCCCCAAATTGAGGCGCTGTTGCCTAAAACATCACCAGCGCTTGAGGGGCTGCTTGGAAAGTGATGCAGGGAGAGCGCAGTTGACCTCTCACCTCCTCCATGTTTTCGCTTGCTTCCCTCCTCTTTGGCGGAGCGGCAAATCACAGAGTTCCAGCCTCATTGGCATTGTCAGGCGCTTACAGTAGTGTTTCTCCGTATTGTGCTGGTGGTTAACTGGTTCAAATGTTATGGAAATGATATTTACCTCTTCTATGATCCCGTAAACTCCAAACAGGCAGGCTTCGTTTCTTGTTTCTTTTTTTTTTTTTTCTTTTACCCCCAGATGAGGGGGGAAAGTGCTTAAAGGAGGCACTATGTGTATGATAAGAAATAAAAAAATAAAACAGGCAGGAAAAAATAGAAACGGAGCAGCGTGGCGTTGAGCAAAAATCAAATCGTTTGTGAAACAGGCTCTGCAGAGTCTTGGAATAGCTATTCATACCTTGTTAATTTGTCCAAATTATGTTGTTGCAACTTTAAATTATTATATAATGCTACGTGGCTCCTTTTTTTTTTTATAGATTAAAAATCTAAAAAGCAGTTTGGGGTTGTAGCCCCGAATAAAATCCAGTACAATCATCTGCCTTCAGAAATCCTTTAATTTGCTTAATTACACCTTATTTTAGTGCCATAAAACCGAGAAACAGAAATTGACAATATTAATGATAAAAACAGGCTTTTAAAATTCAGTAATACAGGCTGGGATTGGTGGCAATATTATTTAGAATAAACTGCAAAAAGTGAAATTGCAAATTGGTTCTTAAACATATTAGCATTTTTTCTTTGGATGGAGAGTTGAGAAAGTATCACTTATATTTTATATCATTTTCTTTCAGGAATCCATCATGTCCCAAAATGTTTAGGGGGGACTGCAATTTTTTTTTATAGTAAAAGTATATACTATAAAATATAGTATAATTTATAGTACTACAATCTGTCCTTTCATTGAAACAGGTGCCATCTTGTTTATTTGAAACTGAATCAAGAATAGTTAAAATGGAGAAACAAATGTATTGATATTTATCCAAATAACTGTATTCTAGCCTGCTGAGTCAGATCTGGTTTAAAACTAACTGTGCTTATTTTGTCCTGAGCTCACAATTGGAATATCTGGAATAAGGTAGTGGCAGCATTATGCTGTGGGGATCCCAAAAGTCCAAACCTAAAACCCAATAAAAATCCGTGGTAAGGCTTGAAAGCCCCGTCGACTGATTGAAGTTGAGACAATTTCACAAAAAGGAATTAACAAAACTCCTTCTTTGATTTGAAGTGCATGCCACACTTTTCAGATCAAAATGTTTCCTAAATATGAACTATTTGGTCTATTTAGAGTCCCATTAAGGGGGTATGAATGTTTTAGCTAACCACTGGAAATCAAATTCCAGTTCTACCTGCCGGTCGTGTCAGTTTGGACCGAGAGTTTGATGGCTGCACGTCCGTGGGCCAGTCCGTGTTCTGGTTGACACACTTTATCGCTCAGTCATTTTTCCTCATACATCCCTTATCACTGACTCCTCAGAGAGAAGGAGAGGGGGGTAAACACAGCTTTCCTCTCTGATAAATAGGTCTGTGTCTCCTCTTCTACGCAGTGACAAACTGACACAATCATGGCAGTTAATTTGTCACCGGCAGCTCCTCCTTTGATCAAAACAGATGCCCCTGCCCTCTTATTCTGTACAATAAAACAAATGAGCACTCGAATGCAAAACAGTATCCTTCCCCAATCCCCCCCGCCAAGCCTCTTTCCACTCTGATGTGCCACCAGCGCGCTGTATCTTTGATTCTAATCACTCTGTGGCCGACTCCTGAAATCATTAATCTCTCTGAGAGCTTGCTGGGAAGCTGGACAGGTCGGGTGCAATGACGGTTTGCAGCCAAAAGGTGGCACAGTAATCCCTGGTTGGGATTTGGTTTACGTGGGACCGATTCAGCGGACCGTTCAAGCACAGGCCCGGGACGGCTAAATGAATGAAATATGAAAAAAAGTTGTTACATATTTGTTTTAGATTTGAAAGAATTTCTCCTGTCATCCTAAAATCCTTGTTTTCTGCCTTATTAGATATTTTCTAGAGATGGGATCTGCCTCAGTCCTTAAAACACACACACACACACACAAGAAATCTTTATTTTGTTTGTCATCATTAATAATTCATCTCCTTTCTTGGATACTAAAACAACAACAAACAGAACAACAGCTCGGATAATGTATTCAGTCAAAAGCTCCATGTCTGGGGGAGGCGGCGAGGGGGGGACAGCGAAAATGTGCAGCGGAGTGAGACAAGAGAGCACCCCGACAGGGAGAGGCTCAATGTCACTCCGCAGCATGGCGGGAAGGAAGAAAAACAAACGCCAGAGGGGGAAAAAAAAGAAAAATAATAATAATAATAATGAAAAAAGAAACTAAGAGAGTGGAAGACACAGTTTGTAAGTCATAAAAGCCCAATTAGAAGCTTTAGGCTCCTCAAATGGAGGATTACAGTGAATAATTTGTGGCTGCAATTTTTTCCAGACTGATTGTGCCATTAATGTGGCTGACAAAAACACATTTATTTTTTGAGGAGGGCTCGCAAGGAAAGCTTTCAAAGCAGAAGAGGGGGGGGCGAACAAAACAATAATTCAAGGTTACATGTATGTGGTGCCAAATCTGCACCCCAGCTGTCCACTGACTCAGCCTCCTTACTTTAAATCTTGTCAACCTCCCCCTTCACACACACACACGCATCCAGTCACCC